TGCTTCATTGTCTGCTTTGTTCATCTCAATGCGGAAACGAGTCCTGTGTGTCGAGACACATGCATGGTGACCTGAGAGCTTTCATTAGTACGCTTCAGCCAGTGGGTGACTTTTTTTTTTACTGGTAGCGCATGGAGCCACTGGGGTATTTACAGAGCTTGTCAGGGAATAACAATCCTGACCTACAGACAGACAGAAAAGTCACAGAAATCTTCCTACCTCCACTGAGTAACAAGAATTGTGAAAATAGTATACGCTGACAAGGTGCCCAAGGCCACTGCTGCAAACTGTCCGCCACACTTGTAATACTGTGGAAGAGAAGAGCAAGACAGGCCATCTTTATGTGCAGTAATTCAACATGTTTGGAATAAAATCTCCAAAAACCACACCATGCTCAGTGACCAATCCTGGAATCACTCAATGTTTAAAAAAAAATTGAAATAAAATAAAATAATTAAAAAAAAGTTTAGTAATTAAGACCTTCAGGCATTTAAATTCAGACAAACCTTATAAAGAAATACAAAATTCACTTCTCAAATGATCATTTTAATGAATGTCTCCGCTGACCAATTATAGTTAATCCTGAAGAATTAATAAAAATAAGAGTAATGCGTATATAAACCTTACTTACCTAAAGTAGGCTACAGACTCCAAAAAAATAATAATTCAACATATTATGCTATGTTTTACAAAGTAATCAACATGAATTAGTCTAAAAATGCTTCTGAGGCCTATTTCCAATGAATCTCAGGAAACATTCTGTGGCTCTGTTTCAGCCAGCTGATTGGCGGTGAGCAGTAATATTTGGTTAACTAAATCCTCTTCGTACATACAGCTAGAGATAACTTTAGTCATGCTGTCTCTGACAATGGTAAATATTTTTTGTTCTTAAAACAGTAGCTTTTTTTTGATAAACATAAAATGAAGTGTTAAGAAAACACATTTTTGTATTTAATCACTCATCATACTCACAAAAACAAAAATTCAGTTATATGCACATGGAAAAAAAAATCCCAAGCAAAGGTAAACTCTGTAGACATTGTGTCAAATCCCAACACTCACCAAAATACCACTGACGAGGGCCATCTCAAAGACGGTGGGTCCTAGGTTGAAGACGAGAGCGCTGAGGACGAAGGAGATACCCCTCGTGCCGCGGTCGATTGCCTTTGACAGCGCCCCCGTCTGGCGGCTGAGGTGGAACCCCAGGTCCAGGTTGTGCAGGTGCAGAAAGACGTTCTTAGCGATGCGTCGGATGGAGCTTTGGGCCACTTTGCCGAACACCGTGTTCCTCAGCTCGTTAAAGAAGGCTGCACAAGCCCGAGAGACACCATCTGGAGAAGCAAAGGAGATGGGGAGTTTTAAGACACCTGCTGTGAAAAGCAGGAATATATAAACAGCACTGAAATTGTGTGTGACTGTGATCTAAAGCAGACATAGTGGTTCTGAAATAAGACAAAATGTGATTTGAAACGTTAACACCCTGAAATAAATTACTGTATTTGGAAGCAGATGAGATTTTCAGACCTTTTGACTGCAGAAAGGCAGAGGAAGTATGAGGTGGAGGGACCTATCTTTCAAATCATCTCTGGCCTGTAAGCACTGCAGTGCTCCAGCAACAGCCTCCCACCAGTAATTACATACTATGATGCTCTGTAAAGCCTCAATACACAACAGACTGGAGACAGGAAGGGTATCTGAGCGTGCTCAGAAATGTTGTGTGTGCGGGTCATGTGTGATCAGACTACAAGAGGGAGGCGGACTTAAAGAGAATGTCACGGAAAGTTTTCAATTACCCAGATTAATTTCAACACTTTCTCTAAAGGATGAGGGCGGATGCAAGGGAGGCAGCCTTCTTTACACTGTTTTAATTTATGCCTAATTTCATACTGAACATAATTAATCTAAACTAGCTCGGTTAAATAAAATGAACAACTTAAAAATTAAGGTAATTATTTGTACTTGCAAAATGCATATAACTGTGCTACAATGACTGTCTCAAATTGATAAGAGTTTGTGTTGAAATGATACGTGCTGCCTCTAAACTGTGCGAACACATGAGCAGTTTGTTGAGACCAAGTCAGGGTGATAATCTCTCTGCCTGTTGGTCTTCACGGGGCTGTAATGTGGCGTTAAATAGGAATGCTCATCTAATGAACAATGTGTCCACATCTGACAAGGTAGGACGAGCACTGTGCAACCTTGACAGCAAAATTACACCAGTCACTGCAGGCTTCAAATCCAGAGCCCAGAGTGTCCAAAAGAAGGAACAAAAACAATGGTTTCTCTCATTTAGATGGTTCTCCACGTTCCTCTTAAATGGGCAACACAGCATCTAATGAAGTTTTCATAACTTTCGCATTTCTGTCAAATCGCAAAGAATTATGTCGAGCTTGTACGGAACAGACTATAAACAAAAAAGCACTTGTTTTTTCAATAAATCTTAAAAAGAGTGGTCTTTGTATATATTTATTCTAATATCCTTAAATAAAATAAAGTGCAATAAATAGTTTTTCAAATTTACATAACTACTACATCGGGTGAACCTGTGATACTGCAAACCTACCAAGGCTTGACTCTATTCCTGTCAGCCAGGAACAGAGACAAGCAGCCAAGAGGATCTCTGCAGCTCCTCCAGAGATCCTCCAATATGTGTGTTAATTTAAAAGTAGCAAAAACAAAGTCATTGTTGAAATAATGCCATGAGTAGTGGAGCATCAAGTGCTGGCTGCACATTATATCAAATTACAACTGCAATATTAATGTGTGCAATATCGCAAAGGACTGTTCAGACTTAATGTTTGGTCCATTTTAAGAGCGGTGCATTAACACTCAATACACCGTTAATACATTTGCCATCTGGACAGTCTATCCACTCTTGATGTTCAAACATGATGTATACTTTTAATGGCATAAAGGTCAGACTAAATGATGTGGACATTAAGTCAAATCCATGCTTTACACACACTTCTCAGATATCAGTACCGCACATAATTTATCTTCCACCCCAAACTGATGTGCTGTGATGTAAAATGGCGATGAAATTAATTTTTTGTTATAAGTAGAGTACAAAGGGTGTGATCAAAGTTGAGCTCAATGATAGTGTTTGTTGGGGTCATATTTTCTTGCTTAGAAAACCTTAACATCTGAAACTAAAAAAATATCAAAAGAACATAAGAGATTTATTAACTTCTCCTCTTAAAAGTGCATAATTTTCTATTTACATCTGAAAGCCCTTCAAGCCCATAATATGGATGAGGGAGTTATAAATAGACACAAAGTCAAATGCAGAAAATAGCTAATAAAGTTAACATGCAGAAGAGGTCGCGTAGCAGCATTCATATGAATGCTGCTGGAAAGGTCAGCATGTACACGGCAGAGTCCTGCAGTCTCCTCGGATGAGCACAACACCTGGCAGCGTAATACGAGTCTTGGACTTACAGCCAATCAACATGGCCGTTGCCATGGTAGCCACTGTGCTTGGCGCGTCATTCAGGTTCAGCATGTGTCCCGACATCTGGTTAAGCTCATCCACCGCATACTTAAACATGAAGGGCACGATCACGTTGGTCAACTGGGAGGGAAGAGAAACAGGAGGTGAGAAAAAAAATGGGAAATGTTCAACATGTTTCTTAGAGAGACAACTTGCTTCCACCCGGCATCGTAAGACCAATCCACTTTGACTGTTTTATAATGCAGCTGGGGTTATATTGAACTTAAATCTAAGTCTGCATAATTGCATGGTACTGGAATTAATTGGATTCAGTAAAGTTATTGAGTTGAACCCAATATGGACCCAAACAATTTCGTAAGAATTGTATCTCCTGTCTTGAAGTGCTTTGAGATAATATCTGCTATAATTTGATGATGAATTGAAAAATGAAGCTAAAAATCAATCAATTTTGTCACAGAAACACTTCCCAGAGAAGTCTATACATCAAAATGTCTTTGAGCTACGCTATGTTGCCAAAAATACTCACTCATACACAAATAAATTTGACAACCATTCCTTTCTATGTCCATGAGGCTTATCAGGATGTCATTCCAACCTTTCTAGAGATAACAGCTCTACCATGATACTTTCCACAATATGGAGTGTCTTTATGGGGACTTTTGATCATTGTTCCAGAGGTGCATTTGTGAGGTCAGACAGTGATGTTGGACAAGGACCTATGGCTGGTTTCTGTCCTGATTCATCCCAAGGGTGTTCAATCAGGTACCAGTCATGAATCTGTAGGTCAATAAAGTTCTTCCACACCAAATTGGAAGAACTTCCTAAATTTGCTCATCCATGTTTTTATGAACTTTGTGCACTGGTGTAGCATAATGCTAGCACAGGAATTTCTAAACTGTTCTTGCAAAGTTGTCTAAATTGTCTTGGTACACTGAAAAATGTAATGTCTTTCATCATCTCCTGAAAGACATCCCCACAACTTTGTTCCAAGTCAATTTCAATAATCACAAATACTTGCACCAACCTTGTGTTTTGTAAATTATTCCGAGGGTTTCTTGAAGCCAAAAAAGAAAAGTCAGAGCTAATATTTTTTTATTTCAGCAATCCAATGAATAGCTCTTCAGTCATGCTTTCAGGGTCATGCAGACCTCAACAGAACCCCCAACTGAGGCAAAAGCCATTAAAAAATGTTGCCGTCTTCTTTTAGCTCTTTGCTGCTTTCTGGAAATTAATTTACTCTCACTTGTATTTGCAAGCCAGATGTTTAGAGGAGCCAAGAACCATTAAATACTATAATACAAAAATAAAAAGTTGAAATAAGTTAGTTTATGTTTGATAAAGCTATGTAATAGATTTAACTTTTGACATAAATTACTGAAATAAAATTCCTTTTCAGTATTGATATTCAGAATTTCTTAGATGCGCTGTAAACTGTATTTAGAGGCAGTTTTAGAGTGAATGAAATACCTAATTGAAAAATGTGTTTTAAAAAACATGTTGAAAGCCAAAACTTTGACGTCTTATATGATCCTATGCTGATTAAACATTCTGTTTCTATATGCCTCTTTTATTAATGCACACCTCACATCCCAGAAACATGAGTTTACAAAGAAAATCTAACACTGACAATGTAAGTGCATTTTGGGGATATGTCCAAGTGCTCACAATTCTATGTTATGTCGCTGAGTATACATGCTCTATTTTTCTTTTTGACTGGCTGTAGTAGTGCTGGAGAGGAGCTGCTGGCTCCTGCTAATGGAATTGAAATGGTTATTAGGGCTAATTAAAAGCACAGGGACAGCTGTGTGAGTCAGTCGGGGCGGTCCGCTGCACATTAGGACACACAACGAACACCGCATCACACAGCGTAGAATTTTTATTTTGAACTTTCAAACCCTGAACACAGGAGTAGGTTTTTAGGCTCCTTTTACTGTCAAGCTCTTCATTAAATAGTCTCCAGAAATTGTGCAAATCAATGAAAAACCAGAAAAGTAAACATATTTATCCTGCCAAAAGCCATATCCCCATGGCTCCTGCTTCATACACTTGGGTATTACACTCAGACAATAGAAGTCCTCTTAATCCCCAAAGGAAAAAAACAATATCTGCCACTTTGCTACCAAGACAACAGAACATGACACAAAAATAGCCTGAGCCTATTATCACAGAGCCAAAACATGTCCTCAATTCTGCCACTAATACATGATAAGGTTGGATGCGCTCTTTTAATCCATTAACGACAACCACTGGAGATTAAATTGACACTGTGTCAATCTCTACCTGGCGATAAGTCATCCCGTAATAGAGATTCTGTGTCAAGTAGCAGAAAAAGGCTCCGGGCGATGGAGAATTAGCTTTACCTTACGCCATGAGACACAGACGGGCTCAGAGACAAAGAGGGCTTCATTCGAGGCCAACTTGTGTGTAACCATTCATTTGAAATGAAAATGTCACTGATAATGTGGCTCGCAGAGGTGAGATGCACTGTAACCACGTAATTATTCAGTTGATTTAAAAATTGCATCCACACAGCTGGTGGTTTCGGTTCAAACAGACAAATTGGTAAAATGGAGGTTAACTCCAACCACGCAGGAAAATAGAAGGAGTCGATTGGATTGTATGCGCTCGCTCCACACTCTTTTAGTACACACCAGAGGGAGCCGTGCTGGGCGGCAGCAGGACACACTTATTTAGGAGCTTTGAATTTGTGATTATTTTCCAGGGTGTGAATTAGAGACTATCAACAAAGGAAGAGAAAACACATCACACACTGATTGATGCATGCAATTAATTATTTAAAAGACTGCTTTAAATGCACGCTGCTTTTAGTTTTACATGGCGTCTTCTCCAAGTGCAATCACTTAACGCAAGTGCTCATGATGTTTCAGCAAAAGGTGCAGGGAGAGGATTTGATTAAACTGGAATATTTAAAATTTAACCAGCGCTTCAAGTGATCTGTTTTGCAACAACTTTTAAGTATATTCCTAAATATCATCAGCCTTTTCACATTCTTAATTTTCACTGGTTTACACAGTCTTACGTATTTTTTCTAAAAATCTGATAACATTCTGGACATATGAATACAAATATGAACATCTAACAATTAAGAGTAATCAAATCTCATCGTTTGTAGGTAGCACTAATTATGAAACAATAATGCCCTGAAAATGGCTTCAGATTTTTGATTGCAAAAACAGAAAGAAAACATTTTTTTTAAATAATTTAAGCAGAAACACAGGGCCAGAAAGTTTTCTACAGTCGAAAGCACTAGTTAACTATTTAACTAGTGTTATAATAAGTGTCAATTTTTGATTGTTTTAAATGGATCTGCAGTCAGTCTGTAAGGTAATAATACTGCTGCAAAGGTGTTCAAAGTAGGTTGTGACCAGGAAAAAGATAAAGCATGTAATTAAGCTATTATTCAACAAAAATCCAATGCAATTAATTTGTATTAAATTGGGATCCAAGATATTACAGCCATTCCAAAAGACAACAGACACATTTCTGTAGTCTGTATGTTTTATTTTTTCCACAATATTTAAAGCTGGAACATGCTAAAATTAAAGTACACACTTTTCCAGATTTTAACTGTATTCAGAGTTCTGTAATATCTACTTTCAGTAAATGCATTAGGAAAATACCTCTGAGTTAACCACAGTGCATCACAAATAGATTTTCATACACATTTATATTTGTTATGATCCTCAAATGTATGTCTTGGGCTTCAAAAAAACTGATTATGAGAAGTTTTGATGTTAGAGTTGAGCTGCCATCTGCAGCAGAACTTACGCTTCATGTTGCATCGCTTCCCTGCCTTCACCTCTCTGCTCCACCAGACTAGCGGCAGCAGTAATTTGCAAACACCTGTTAGAACTGCGAGTCTGCAGAGCTAATCATATGAACTACTTCTCAATTCTATAAAGTGGTAAACAGAATAAAGGAGCAGCACTGTTGTGATGAAGACAATGTTGGAAAGAATAAGGGCTTCTTAAGGACCAAATTTCAAGGGATCAAATTGGAAAGTCAAATTTCATTTAAGTAATTTTTTTTTACATTAACAAAATATTTATAACAACTGAAGGAAACATTTCTTTAAATTGTGCTATAAAATGGGAGTAGAAATTTCTCTCCCTTCCTTTAAGAATATTATGAAATGCACAAATGCTAGATATGTAGCATATTCACCACTTTATTATTCTTGATTTGTCTTTCATTGAAATAAATACTGTTAATTCCACGGACTTTGCTGTGTTCTGCTTGGTGGAAATCAACACCTTATCACAGCATGACAGACTCAAATTACCATGCTTTTTATTGTAAGTCTGTTTTTTTTCCAGCAACAAAGAGAAACAAAAGCAATGTCCTTCTGGCAAATAAAAAAGTGTTTGTCTGAAATGGTACAGAAGTACTTTAACACCAATCTTGCTGTATTCTTTTTAAGCTTTTGGTTAGTAACAGCTTTAAATTCTGAAACTAAAAGGGGTTTGTGATCTTTGACATTCATACTGGCATTTTTGCAGCACTGCAATGTGATAGCTATTGCTCGGTGTATTAAATTGTTTGCACTTTAAAGTGATTCAACAGATTTCTCACTGTATGCTCCAGAGAAAGGATGTCTTGGATTTCACAATCCTCCTTGAATGATTTGTTGATGGGATTTTTGTTCCTTAGTCATCTGTGTTTATTACACCCATACTTATTGAGCAGAATCAGAGTAAGTCTAAATGTTACCATTTCTAATTAAGAAAATTTGTGCTGGTTTATCCTTCTTTAAACACAAATAACTTGCATCCTGTAACACACAAAAAGACCCACATCATGTCTGATCACTTCCAGCAGTGCCCACACTGAAATAAGGTTTTTGGAGAGACTAAGATTGAAATGTGGCTGACAGTTTGTCACCAGTGGTGTTCAGGCACATACTGTTCTACGTGGATTAGTCACTACTGTTTGGTGTCCTTGGATGATGTGCTGCATGCTTTAGGGCAGAGTTATTAGAACATTTTTAAAAAATAAAGTTTACCCACTCAATCACAAGTCTGTGCTGCTATATTTATCTTTAGATTTCTCGCATGCTATTGCAATTATTCAGGCCTTTTGCTTCTTGATATGGTTGGGATTCTGTAATTGTACAATCAGAGGTGCACAATTTTTAAAATTGTAAATATGATCGCAATATCAATATATGCAATGCTGCAATTGCAAAAGAACTGCTTGAACAGAATATTTGGCTGCTCCTGGTACTAAATGCCATGCATCCAAATTTTTCACCCCAGTGCTACATTTGGCCATTTAGGGATATGATGATAACAATCGAAAGAAAAGAGTCAGGAAAAACTGTGATTAGTCATAATCTATATAATTATCACAAGACTCAATAGCAAGGCATAGAGAGGCTATTAATCTGAGACTTTACAACACTACAAGCCAAAATATTTTTTAAATAAATACTTGTTTTGTAGGAGAAAGCAATTATGGCCCCAGGCCAAGGGCAGTAGGTGCCAAGATGACAAGAGGGAACTACATGGAATGGCCTTTTTTGAATGAAGAGATGCACAATTCATCCCCTAGAAAGGCTTAATGAATTTCTACCATATTATGTTCTACGCAGCAGCTGATCTCAGGTAGTTTGTGTTTCATTATTACTCATTTATGGAATCAGCATTTAATGACATATTAAATGCAAAGTGCTCTAAGCAGGTGGCTTCTGACCCTGTGCCTGTAAAAACAATTTCCCCTCTATTTAACAAGAAAACCTCTTCTTTATTGCCATCACTCCTGCAAGAGTCCACAGACTGATTTTGAAAGACTTTGAAAGACTTATTGCAGTCACAAGTCATTTTTAGCTTGACATTTTTTTTAACTTTTGTTTGTTAATCAATGATTCCCATTTTCATCCAGTAATTGCCAACAGAAAACAGTGCAGTTGTTGCTGTTTCCAAAGAATACTCTACACACAAAGCAGATGAAGTAACATGCACCAGGAGTTTCTGCAAATTTCAGTAAGTTGAATGTAGGACTTTTATAACTTACTTTAAAAAAACATGAATTAAACACAACCCAATAAATTACTTAATAACAAAAACAACTTAAATAAAATTCAGCTTTTATATTTTGCAATGCCTGTTTTCAAGCCAAATCTCCTTGTAGCTGCAGTATGTAACTTTTATTAAAAATTTGAATGAGTATAACATATTTTATCAGGTGGACACTTTCATTTTCCTTAAAGTCTCCATGTTATGTATATTTTCAGTGACAGAGGTGCCACATGCTCACAAAGGGTGATTTTAATTTAAGGAAAAGAAAGCAGTGAGAAAGACAAATATTAATAATACTCAATATAATAATTAGAATAGTTAGCATTAGTTTTGCAGTATGAAAAGTAGCCTGTCAAGTGGCTGCAATTTACACCTAAAATAAAACAGCTAGAAGAGGTCTATCACCCAGCAAGTAAGGAAGAGCAGGTAGAGCTAATGTTACCAAATTGTCACCAAATTTACTAGCATAAACTTTTAATAAACTTACTTTAGCTCCAGCGAGAAGGCCAAGCGAAATGGCAACACGCGCCCGCAGGTCTGGTCGGTCCTTTGGCCACACGTAGGCCACCATTGCAGACAGAATCTTGGTCGAATTCACTTCTTTCAGCTGCAGCGAATCAACAACATAAACAAAATGTTGGATAATTCCCAGCCTGTCTTTTAAAAATCAGGAAACATTAATAAAATCGTGTTTAGGATAATTTCAACTTTCTAATCTGCGTTCTGTCTGGAAAATATTGGTGAGTAATGCTCATTCTGCATTCAGTGTGCAGCAACCTTAAGACCACACTGTGGCAGACACACGGAACATCAAATGTCAGCAGGAGTCCCCTGAGAGATCTGACAACAGCAATCAGAGAGTTTCCAGGTGGACTTGGGCATCCTGTCTGACACTACAACTCCCAGGAGACACCTGGGCTGTCATCCCAGCTGAGGTAGAGAATCCGTTGGTGCCAGCGCGGCTGTTTACCCGCACTTCCACACACATCTGCCGTGGGGACTCTCAGCAGGCTACAGAATACGAGGTAATTCCTCTAATCCACTCAATATGGTGGCAACATGTTCCAGCCCTGCTGTGTGGCAGCTCCTTGGAGCAAATTACAGAGAAAGTGTATCCATCACCTGCCTTTAATCAAACACAATCAGGCAAAGTGTTACACTGCAAAGACAGCACAACTGATTTATATGCAACTTAAAAGAGCCTTAATATATCACAGTATGTAAAAATCTATATTCTATTTGATTCTAATTTATTCCAAAGCCACAACAATAACTGATCAGATTAATTGACAGTGACCTGATAAGCACAGATATGAACAATGACAAGGTATTTAGATGCAGGTTTACTGGAATCACATTTGCTAGTATTGATCATCTATAAGTTGAAGTGGTGAAAAGTTAAATTAACTCCGACAATGTCAAATCAATACCCTAAATACCCACTGACACGGGCACTTATTTTACATTAATTTCTCATTTACAACTTCCAATTATTGTTTATTTAATTGCTATGAATAAACACAGCAGTGTGAAACTTTTCGTCGCTGATTGGACCAATGCACAACACTCACCACATTTTTTGGGTCTGCACTCAAACCCCCTCCTGCGTGTCCATGCCAACATGTCCGCTTGTCCATCCCCTGCAAATGCTGTAGAAACATGAATAGAATCACTTTGTAATTTCAGGTTTGACTTAAAAAAACTTATTTTCAGCAGCTTGGAAAATACTACTCACTTTTAGCCCCTCTAAAATCCGACGGCTGCTCTCCAATCTGTTTGTGCTCCATGTCGCTGTTCGTAAGTGTGGAAAGGAGCTCAGCTGAAACACAAGAGATGCCGTATATGACTGCTGTCTTACTTTTGTTTACAGGGTCGTTTTTAAAATTTAAGCATGCTGAAACAGAATAAATACGGGAATCAGAAAGATTTGCTCCCTTATAGATTTTATACTTTAAACTTCCAGCCTGAATTAAAATTCAGGTTGTAAAAGTCAAGACAAGTGGTGCAAAAGTCTCTTAAATACTTTATGACAATAATTATTTGTTCAGAGACAGGTTAGTTTGAATAGCTTTTCACAAATTAAATTACCAGAATTTTTTTGATTTTATCCAGGTTATCTTTGTCTGATATTGAAATAGTTTTGCACTCTGAAACATTTAAGTGTAACAAACACGCAGAAACAAAAGAAGACAAAAACCCACAAAAGATTGTAATGTCTAACAAACGAAAAAGGGATTGTTAAGAAGAGGCAATATTTCTGAATATTTATATGTATAGTCATATTGTTTATTTTGTCAAAGTGTTAGTGTTTTATCAGAGATAGAGTTCAAGTCAGACTTCCTTCAGAAATCTTCAGTGAGCGTTTTAAACACTGGCTATGTTTCCATCATCATGGAAACCTCTGTTTTAATCCTCAAAACAATGGGTTCAATCGAAGACTCAAACATGTCAAGGCATGCTCCCAAGACATTTCAGAACTTATGAGTGTATATCTGCAACAGAATTTTGTTTTAAGAACACTTGCAGTCGACGTAGGATGAGAGCTACAAACACGCCTACAGAAGCTGAGCTGACTGTTAACACAAGATGTCTTGTGGGTGGATTAAGAAAAGCACATTGATCTTAAAGTAAACCTAACCCATAGTGACCCGTTTCTATTGTTGTGCATAATTCCATGGTTGAATATCTATATATACACACACCAGATTGTTGAAAAAGTGAGTGAGCAAATATTGAATTTTTTTCTAATTAAACTATTTCAGCTTTAATAATACAATATGTAATGATTTATTGCAACTAAGTATAAGTTAGGATGCTTCTTTTCTCATAAAGTGGTGTTTTTGGTGATTTTACTTTGATATCTGAAAGTAAAGTCCTAACACTAAAAAGTTAGGACAACACTGGAACGAATTAGAAAGTACATGTAGAGTAATACAAAAATCATATTGTGATTATCTAGAGTATAAATACCTTGGCTTCAAGGTATTAAAAATGTTGCTTTATTATTTTGTAGCAGTTGGAATAATTATGGATTTGCATTTTAAAAATACAGCAGCTAAGTTATGTTGCACATTATAAATACCTTGAAGCCAACAATAATGTAAAACATGACTTAGTTTTACATTGAAGCCTAGGTATTTATAATATAAACATGACTTAGCTGCTGTACTTTCAAATGCAAATCCATAATTATTCCAACTGCTACAAAATAATAATGCAATATTTTTAATGTACAGCAGAGTCTATAAATGCTTTAGGGGTATTTTCATACATACATCTAAGCAAAAACACAGATGTACAGTTATGTTCTGAATAGGTTCAAGTAGTTTTCGAGAATATCAGGAATAATATGCACCCCTCCCCATTCTGGTCAGGTAGCCAGTCTGGTGTTATTTCTGGTACTTATTTATGAGATCTTTGATTTCTATTTTTTAGTTAGTTATACTCATATTTTACTAGCTCAATATTTATGCAATATATTGGTAAATATTGCACTGATATAAATTGCCATAAAAGTCTACTTTGCTCTTGCTTCTATCTCAGTGTGCTTCCATCGCTCTGTGACCTTTAGTACTATGGACAATGTCTGTCATTTGTGACCAGTGTGAACATCTGTTGCTGAGAGAAAGGCTTGTTACTGAAACGTGCTACACAAATAAACCTGACTTGACTAAATATTGCATTAGCCCATACTATTTGTAATATATTAGACAACAATTATTGTACTTTAAACACTGATTTGCAATACCGATATTGACGACACCAATACTGCTGCGAAATTAGTTACAAAATTCAACCCAACTACGCCTCACATTTTAGCAAGTTTTTTTAAACTTGTTTTTACCATTTTTTTTTTTACTTTTGTGGTGTGGTTTCATCATATTTCTGTGTTTTATTTCACAGAGGTTATGGCAACGAGAACCTTTCCTTAGATGCCAGATCCATCTACAACCCAAACCTCAGAAGTTTCTGAGTGGATGTGTTTTTACGGATGCAGGCAATCGGGTAGTAAAGAGGGCTTATTGACTGTTAATGCTTTATTTTCCAGTTTCTCCTTACATGTTTCCAATGACATACAATAAATAAACTCTGATTTCGGTTGTTGTCTTTTCCAGTGAGCAAGTGCAGAAGTACCTTCTGAATTAAAAAAAAATCAGAATAAACTGGCAGCAGAGTCAGGGGCTTTCGTTGATCATTGCCAAATAATCCATAAATTTGTTGACATAAAATGACAGTTGTATCGGCCACAACACGAGTGGACGGGTGGGACTGAGGGTCTTATCTAACCAGTCAGATGGAACTGGAGACACGTGACAGGGACTACTTTAATGCTGCACCGTCAGCTCACACACAGCTGATACAAAACGCTAATAACCTGACGCAAGGCTCGACGCTCACACCTCTATCCCCACATTTCATAAAGACGCAAGATTGTCGGGTAATGACGCAAAAGAAAGGTTAAGAGTAACTTAAGGTAGCAGTTAGCTACCTCAAACTTTAACAACAAGCCATGAAAACAGTAACTTTTGAATGTCAGCAAATATTTTAGGAGAGGACCAACAAACGACAACCAAGCTGAAGTATTTTATGTCACACTAAAAGTTAGTTGTGGGAACTTCTATATGTGCCCTTGCGTAAAGAGTGTGTCCTCTCCGACCAGACGTCCCGTTTCACTCACCACATATGTGTTCTTCTGTCGTTTATAATTCCTCCCCTCTTCAGCGCCGCTTTTATTCCAAACGTGAAACGAGCCGGTCTGGCGAATAAGAAAGGCCAATTTTCTGTTTTGGAAGTGAAAGCCGCATTTTAGCGGTGCCAATATCGGCGCCATGTTTCACGGCGGAGGAAGACGATTAGTCAACACGCCGGGTCATGCGTCACATCCGGCTTACGTTGCTAGCGGAGCGTAACTGTTAGTAGCAGTCAGAGGAAACGGGGGCTTTTTCCATCCTGTTTTTGTCAAGTGGAAGAGATTGAGCAGACTTCGACAAAACGCGACAAAGTAGTTGGACCTATTTGAATGCGAGCCTCGCAGTTTCCTGGCCGACTGGTTGCCGTGTTAGTCGTAGAAGTTTGAGTTGAAGAAGCACGTTTCCCCCTCCTGTTACCGCGTTAGCGTGGCGCTCTCATTAAGACACGCTAGCTTGCTTTAGCATCGAAACGCTTTGACCTCGCTGCCAGGATGCCATGCCACAATCAGCAGCTGAACAGTGTGAACAGTGGCCAGGAGCACCCGATGAAGCAGGTTCGGTTTGCGAACAGCAGCAGCAGTGTGCCTGCTGTGCTGACCAGCTCTGAACCGACCGATGTCCCCACGCATCATCAGGCTGACCACGCATCGGTCAGCCAGGACAGCCTGGGTCCTCAGCTGAAGCTGCTCCCTCTGAACGACCAGATCCGAGAGTTGCAGACAATAATCAGAGACAAGTGAGTCCTCGCACCTTATATCTGAGTCGCAGATATAAGGTGCTGAGTCTTATATCTGCGACTCAGCACCTTGTCCGATTTGGTAACTTGGCCTTTGCAAGAGGGAAGTTGATGCCCAAAATAAGTGGACTGTTCATAAAACTGTTCATATGGTGAATTGCATGAGTATAAACACGTTCAAAGTGCAGTTGTTTTTGATAAATCATTTCGATGCTTTCCCCCAAATTTCATGCGACATCATTAATTTCAAAAGACAATAAACTCATATTTACTATAGTGTAATTTCAGTATCCAACATCTTCACTTAGAAATATTTTTCTTTTGGTCTGCAAAGGTTATGCAGATCTTGGATTGTTAGTGTGGAAGATGTGCACAAAACTCTTGCTGGACCTTTAATTGGTTATCTTGAAATAAAATACTCCCGTCTTTCAGACATGTGGAGAATACAGTAAAATGTTGGTAAGTAATGTATTCATACCTCTGGCAGAATGACATAATGTAAAACAGAAAACCTAAAGTAATCCTGAGGGAAGGTCTGTGATTTCGATGCACAGATTGAAGCAAAAATATAGAAGCAACACCAGCAAATTGTGGAGTAGATTTCAGAAGCAATCAAAAGTTTTTGTGTGTTTTACATTTTGCATTTTAAATTGATCTAACCTTTGCTGAAAAATTGTCAACCTTATTTTGTCCAAGCTGAAATAAAGCACTAAAGTGTAAAAGCGGAGGCTGATCTAATCAAGTGCCTATTTATACTTTCAGAACGACCAGCAGAGGAGATTTTGTTTTCTGTGCGGACCGACTGGTGAGGTCATATACAGCACAGCAACATGGTAAAGCCATTTGTTTTCAGCTTTCTGAAATAATATCTGTTTTCCCCCAACAACAGATCAGACTAGTAGTTGAAGAAGGCTTGAACCAGCTTCCCTTCTCAGAGTGCACCGTCACCACTCCCACAGGTCAGAGGGTGTCAGGTTTAACGCTCCAGATTTGAAAACATGAGCCAAAACACTGAACCAGTTTTTTCTGCTCTGCTCCACTTTTATTTTTTTGCAGCTCTAGTCAGTACAGCTCCATTTTAAGTCGTGTTTCATTTTCCTTCCCTTAGGGTACAAGTATGAGGGAGTCAAGTTTGAAAGGGGCAACTGTGGAGTCAGCATCATGAGGAGTGGTAAGTGAGGCCAAGTGCAGCATCTTACGGCTTTTAAATGTGAGGACACTTTAGTCTGTGAATCTCGACTTCTATATTTCTGCTCGTGTGGAAATATAAAAGTTCCTCAAGCGCGGAACTTGATGACAAAACTCTTGGTACTGATGATCCATTTTTTGATTAACTGATGGGAGATAGAGGATGCAATTGACAGAAGGCAAATATGTCGGCACACCACATAGCAGGCCGGCCCACATAAGATAATCAGTAAGACAAAGTGCTGCTCATTCTCACAAGCTTAAAATGTTTGCCAGGTTGGTCGTTTTTCATCACTCTATGACGATAAGATAAGTTACAATAAGAGTGATTGATTCAAGGTTACAATTTTATATTTAGTCATTTTTTGCCAAACATGAGCTTTAAGCTCATTTCAGCTGTAACTTAATGTCAAGGATGAGAACATTGTTGCCCAATCGGCACACAGTAAATTACTTTCTAAAAGCTGCACATGTCATCAGTGTGTGATGCAAGTCTAAGCACAAAGTCGTGTTGATCTCACCCGTGTCGACACATCTTTAATTACACGTTGCAGTCCAACGAATGCATTCTGTGTTTTGTTAGTAGGCAGTAGGACATTTTGTTTTTAGTGGTAGTTCTGCAGGCTTGCAGCAGCTCTTTTTCTCGACATTGCTTCTTCGCTCGAGCATCAGTCGAGTCACACCAGAAGATTTTCAGAGTTGTTTCTTTTGTAGTTAGCAAGCAGCTCATAAACGTAAGGGATGAGACAATGTTTTCTACAGTGCTGACACAGAATTGATTGTAATTTGCATTTATAGGCACTGTATATCTAATAGTCTGCCACAAAGATGAGTATAAAAGTTAATTCCTGTAAGCTGAAAGTTAAGAGCTGTTAAGAGCTCTTAACTTTAAGAGCTGTAAGCTGAAATATTTCCCTTACGAAGAGAATCAACTAACAGATCTCTGTCTCATGTCTTTTACATTGAATTTATTCAAACATGCGACTTTCATTTACTGAAGGTCTTATCTAGATTCCTCAGTCCTCAGGCTTCTTCTTTGGCTCCTCACCTCCCTCCTACCTTTAAGCATGAACGTCACAATGTGCTGTCACTGTCAACACAAAACATGACAGAGTGAAAAAGCAAACAATATGTATAAAGAAAAACTGTTTGAGGATCTTCAGAAAGCTGGCGAACTGTTGACAGAGATCAATTTAAAGGGTTAGACGAAAGCCTGTTTTTTTTTTTTGTGTTTTCTTTATTTAAAGCTAGTAATGAAGAACCTTGGAAAAAGTTTTTTATTTCGTAGATCATATCTGTAAATGCGTGTAGTTAAATCTACAGCGATAGACTGACTGTGTATGATATCGTATTGCTTTATTGTCAGAGCATAGCTGAAGTTCGTCTTGCATAACAGCAGTTTTGTTTACAAACATACATAGGGACACATGATCAGATAGAATCCACATGTAAGCCTGTCACGACATCAATTCATCAATCGCATAATTCATTAAAACAAACTGTTTTCATTCTGATCATTAATATATAATTGGAGGGTAATTTTTTTAAAAGTATTTTTTAGTATTAATTTCTGCAACAATTATTTTATTTGAGATTATTTTTCCCCAGATTTCGATAATTATGGGAAAAGAAAACTGAGCTCGGAAACGTGTATTTCCAAACTTTATTCTCTGTCCTAATGTCAGAATATCCTATCCATTGACTGATTTGTTTGTTCATCCATCAATTTCAGCCATCAATCCCAAATTGATTGTTTGGAAATTTCAGTTTGGAGCTTTGTGATGACAAAGCATGTGGGAACCTTGTCAACAGAACCATGTTTGGTTTCCACAGGTGAAGCCATGGAGCAGGGCCTCCGGGACTGCTGCCGCTCAATCCGGATCGGAAAGATCCTCATCCAGAGCGACGAGGAGACCCAGAAAGCGAAGGTCTACTACGCAAAGTTTCCCCCGGATGTGTACAGAAGAAAAGTGCTGCTCATGTACCCCATCCTCAGTGAGTTGCTGCAGGCTCAGCCTGGCTCCGGTTAACCACGTCCAGTCGTACAGAAATGTCAAAGCGCGTCTAATTAATTTTATGCAAAAAAAAAAAAAAAAAGTTTTTTCTGTATTTATTCATTGTAAGTAGTCTCCCTTGAGTTGACCTTCACTGCCACCACCAACTCTGCATTGCCACATCATACAGAACCATTCACACTGCTCTGATAATTATAGCTCTCATGGGGGAAATTATACACTGCCTCAGAGTTAGCCACCAGGCTGCAGAATAACATAATGAGGACCAATGAAAATAGGATCCTAATAGTCCTGGTTTCCTGATGTCACAACAGGCATATTTCTGTTGTTACTTAAAAATGTAATAGAAGCAGAGCTTGATTTAAAGATAGATTTATTTTTTTTGTTTCATAACAATGGATAGTTTAACTAACAAGAATGCAATTTTTTTTTCCCTCAGACGAAGTGTCCAGTGTAACCAGGCAGGTGAAAGAGCACGTCTAACCTCGTTATCTGCTGCGTCTGCAGGTACAGGGAACACAGTGATCGAGGCCGTCAGGGTACTGATAGAACACGGAGTCCAACCCAAGCACATTATTCTCCTCAGCCTCTTCTCCACACTCATGGTAAACCAGCACACACCCCCATTTTTCTTTTTGTTTCTGCTTTCTCATCTTTTATATGCATGTGCAGGATTGTTCACTGGTGCTTGGTGGCTTTTGACAATATAAGTTTGGAAGTTCTTAATTTCTGTAGCCTATAGCTTCCATCCAGCTTACAGTGACATTTAATGTGGATGTTAAAAAAGGATTTCAGGGTAATTTGACTTTGTGACCTTTCCTCCTGTCAGGTTAAAACTAAAACTTGGACATAAGACATATTTAAAGCTGAAGGGCACGATGCTATAAATGCATTATGAGATACTTTTTTTTTTTCTTTTAAGAATTGTTCTTGGCACAGTTAGAAAGTGTGAGGTTGGAGATGAGACAATGTGAGGAAAAGAACAGAGAATTGACACGTAGCCAATCCAACCTGCTGAGAACTAAATCAAGAACCACATTCCTCATTTCCTTCCCACTTTTTCTCTTGATGTTGCATCTAAAATCTGTTTTTGTAAACTTTGACCTGCTGTGACTGATTGTAGATCATGTTAATTATAAGTTAGAAAATTAAAGTAAAAGATTATTCAAAATCTTTTTAGTTGCCATGATCTGTTATCAGACAGAAGCAATAAGATGAATGGTAAACTGAGTAAATTAAAAATTACCAATCTTTTCCAATCTTACAAACTCACCATTCGAATCGCTTGTCACTAAAGGCAGTAGAAGGAATTGAACACACAACTTCCATATTGCATGACTGCTACTCTCCACTAAACCATGATTTGCTCCAGCAATTCTCAGTTTTTAGCATCTTATTAGCAATCAGCATCAACAAAAATCAGCAGCCTTCACGTTTATTTCCCAGAGCAGTTCTCTACACGTTTTGATGTTTCTGCTGATAAACTGGCTCACGTTGGAGTCAGTTTATCACTCATTTATTCAAATATAGAATTTTCTTTTTATTGCAGTAAAATCCGTACATAAGCCAATTCTCTCAAGTTGCAATTTAAGAAGAAAAGTTTGAGTTTCTGAAATTTAAGACCTTTGAGATTAATTTTCTGTTGCATTTTGTGCTTTTAATAATTCATGTTTCTACAGCTGCGTTCATCTATGTCACTGCATTAGGATGTTGAGTTGCCCATTTTAAAGTATCATCCATGTTTCCTTTAGGAGCCAAGTCCATCATCCAGGAGTTTCCAGACATCACCATCCTGACCACAGAGGTTCACCCAGTGGCACCAACACATTTTGGACAGAGATACTTTGGCACTGACTAAAACAGGACAAAATGCTTTTGGTATATTTTCTGCAGGCTTTGTCTCTGTATTTCATGCAGTACCATTTACTCAAGTTGTTGAACTGACACCTAATGATTGACCCCAGTACTTTTATTTATTGCTCTCTCTTTTTTTTTTTTGCTTTCTATGCTCAGATTGTAGAAAGAAAATCACAAAGATTAAAACATGATCATTTTATTTTGCGTTGTATGAACAGATGAATCAATAAAGAATTTATATTTGTTTACAGAGAACAATACAAGAAAGTGGATTGAGGTGGGGGTTTTTTTTGTACGTTGGTAATGGTTTAAAAAAAAAGTGGAAGCACCATTCACCGTATTCGAAACAGTTAAAAGAAAAAGGAATTCATCTCCTAGCTGCAAATAATCTCATGGATTTTATACATTATGGTTTAAGAAAAGCACACCACTTTAAAGTTTGTCACAAAAGGATCAAAATATACAAACACTGCCTGCAGCAGGTATAAATCAGTGGACCAACATACAGGAAAAAAGGAATGTAACAATAAATAGACAAGACCATATGATACACTTAACATCAACTTCATCAAAATTTCATTATGCTTTATACACACCGAACATGGTTTTAAAAAAAAAAAATCAAAATAAGTATTTGTCACTGGAGCAGCATCAGATATGGGTTTAAACAGCTGGGAAGCATTTTAAAGTGTCTATTTGGAACAGCATCAAAGCTTATTAAAGGCCAAACTCTTATTTTTAGGCTTATAAGTAAGGTTTAAGTACAGAAATTAAGAGTTATGCAGGAGATCCTGTATAACTGTTTCTAAGTTAACATTTTACAAAAATTAAAACAATGCAGAATATCACCGTCCTCCATCAGTAAGTTGATGAGAACAGATTAATAAATATGTACAACAAATGAGGACAGCTGGTATGATGGAGGATAAACATAATAGTAATGTTCAATGAGAGCACTCCAGAGTTCAGCAACAGCATCCAAGTCATAATATACAAGATATTCAGACTATTACTTCTTTCAAAAGAAGAAACGATATGTTCGGCCTGCAATGAAGCTGTGCTTGCTTATAGTTTTTCTGTGATATGTCCAATCAGATAACATTGTTAACTTCATTGCTTCGAAAACCACGTTTTTTTTTTGTTGTTTTTTTTCCCAAAAAACTCCACCGTTTGCCAGAAAAGGATGATGCAACGATACATTCTCAGGAGAAATTTCTCCACAGCACACAGGAATACTTATGTAAGGCGCAGGTCAAGTCAGATCTTCTAATATGCTCATAACCTTTTGTTAGAGTGAAATCGAAACCTATGTTACATTGGGGGAAACGTCAAACTGATTGGCCAGCTGGGTCCCTACGTTAGACCTCCGCAGGCCTCAGGGTGGATTTTAATACCTCCCCTCCTGCTGAGAGGGATCGTTAAGGTGCAACACTGGAAACGCAGCCCAGCTGTGAAACAGAGGCATGTAAAATAGCACTGTACCACACAGCATCACCAAAACCAATAATAAATAACATATCCTTTTTACTGAGGTAATAGGGTTTTCTTCCTAAATAAACCATAATTTGTACCACAACTTGTCATCCATTTTATGTTATCTTTCCTCATCATGTAAAACTTAATTGAAAATTGGCAAAAAAAAAAAAAAAAAGAAAATTAAAAAAGATCAGAATCAGACCGTCTCCCATTCACCATCTCCAGCATTTCCCCAACTTCCACATTATTTGGAATGCAAACACATCATAACAAAGCATTTTAAAAGTCAGTATTATCTGTGCATGTGCAGGTTAGTCGTCCATCTCGATAGTAACGGAGGGATCTGCGCCCTCCACTGGAAAAAGAGAAAACTCATTTTAGTGGGCAAATCAGGAACTTTTTCGAAGATTTTGTTCTAACCGATGGGTTTCATAAGGGAGGATTGTTGCATTGTTTCACCACTAGGTGGTAGCAGAGTATTCAAACAGCTGTGCATGTGACTGATGCGCCCAGATTCTGTTTTCATGGTTCATATCTACAGTATACAGTTATGATAAATAAGAAAACAGCAAAATCTAAGGGAACAAATCTCTTTAGTTTTTCCATTGGTATATTATAGAAAACTTTTTTTTCTTAAGGGATCCCTGCCAACATGGAATAAAATGTTCCTAATTTTTCAGTGAGATTTTTGCTACAGCAAAAAAAAAAATAAAAAATCTGTTTATTTAAGACTACATTGTTCTCCCTGGAGTAAAGTTCAGAGAGCGCTGCACAGTGTACTGTATCAATATCCAGCTCCTAAGACTAATCAGTGGAGCTACTGAAAATGATTATGTAGGGGGGAAAAAAACTTAAAGAAAAAGTTTCTGGAGCATATCTGAGTAATGAACAGTAAAGAGAACTTACCCAAACTTCCTTCTGAACCATCATCTGACTCATCCCACATGTCCTCGTTAGCTAACAAGGGGTTATGGGATTCAGAGCTCTGACTCCTTAAAGGGAAGTAGTGACCATTCCCTTGGCTGCCATAATAACATATGAAAAAGGAAATTAGTCAGTGTATTTTTTATAGACATACACAACTACTTCCCTATTTTTCTTAATAGTGATTTTTGACATCTCAATGATAAGATAATTTACTTCTCCTTCAGTAATTACCTTGTGAAAACCGGGGATGAACCACAGTTTTGCGGTCTTCTCCAAACACTTGCAGCAGGTTTTTGTGTAGACCAAGACTGAACCCGTTTCTGTCAGGTCCACTGACAAATACTGGAGCTGAGAAGGCCTCTACACAAACGGAAAGGGAACTGTAAATTAGAATACGTTTTCATGCCACAATTTTCCTGATTTCCTGGGATTGAAAAATACAGACATCACATAAATGGTTGGATGTTCCCTGATAAAAAGCATGTCACTCTCACCTAAAGTGGATCTGTTCTTGGCCACTAACCACAGTGGTAACTGAAGAGAAACATGAGACTGACAAAGAACATGAGTGCAACAAACATGAGGAAGAGGATATGGAACTTGGCAGGTCCATTTGGTAGGTCCCCCTAAGGACAGAAAGAAACGGGAGACATTAGTTAATAGGAAAACCAGTGGCAAAAAGAACAACTAATCAAAAAAAAACTTTACAGTAAGATTACACTGCAAAATATTTTTTTAAAAATTAACAACAATGGCACTCACCACCCAGAATTTGAGAAAATACTGAAGGACTGTTGCTGTGATGAATACACAGTACAGCATCGAGTATGCGAGGAAAAGTAGGAAAAATTTGTAGTTGGAAAACCAACACAGTTGTTCACCCTGGGTGAAAAATAAGATCCGGTTATCAGGGAACAGAAAGAAAATCCATGCAATCAATCTACAAAGTAGTCCAAGTTCCAACTTACCAGGGACAGTGATGGTCCATCTTTAAGACACAACTAAAAATAAAAATATACTTTTTATGCATCACTTCCAACAGTAATTGATCTTAAAACAGTATGTTAAAATCAGATGCTCTTGAATTATTGTGCCAAATGAAGTTTCAAGGATAAATGTTTTTCATGATGATTTTTTCATCCAAGTCTCATCATATTAAATATAGAAAAATATTAACTGTCTGAATACTAAGATATTTTGTTTGTTCTTTTTTACAAGCATTTCTGGCATCCACAGCGTTCGGCAAAATTGTCAACTTTCATGTCCCCTCACATTACAGCCACAAGCTTCAAGTTGCCACACTGTTGCAGAGCTTTTGGGGTGTGTGTCTCAGATGATGGGATGTAAAGAATCTGTAAACATCAGTTTTCTAGTCCTGCCACAAATTCTCGGTTTGATCTAGGTCTAGACTTTGACTGGACCATTCCAACACACAAATATCCATTGCTGTTCTAACCGCATGTTTAGAGTCAATCTCCTCACAAACCTCACAGAACAGCGAGACTAATTATACTGAGATTAAATTCCACACCGATGGACTATATTTACTAACTACATCACCTTTGAACTTGCTGAATGGATTTTCTTTAGAAACAGAGTAAAATGGGCTGAAAACGAACACTGTACTTTAAAAAAGATTTTACATGTAAATGATCTTGAACATTCTCTATAACTTCCTTCCAGTTTACATCTACTACTGTGCTGACCCACAAAATCCCATGAAATAAGTTGAAGTTTGTGGTCATAATGCGACACAACGGGGAAAAAGTTCAAGAGGTGAGCATGCTGTCCGTCTTCTTCTGCCAAAACAATGCACTGATTGATCTTCAGGATTCTGTTTCAAATGAACAGAGCAGCATTCTCCTAATTATCACAACAGCTAATATATCTCCTTGCCGGAGGGTAATCTCTCGAGATTAAGGTATTGGGGAGGAAAGAGAAGCTTACGTTTCACAAACGAGCAGTGGTGACAGCGGTCAGGCTTCAGTACCTGGCAGCGGTCACAGAACCTGATAGCTGGAGACAAGAAGATGGACGAGTTGAATGGGCGACATCTGAGCTGAGCATCCCCCCCCCTTCACACACTTCCTGCAGCCTAAGATTGGACTCGTAATCACCACTAATGAAAGAGATGCGTCTGCTGATTGCTGCTCGAGAGAGCCTTCAATTGATAGTCCTAACCTACTTGTTTTTAATCAAACACAGACAACGTGAGGCAGCTCACCTCCAGATTGGGTTCGGGTGAAAATGGGCAGTTTCCTTGCGATCTCCACGAGGATTTGCTTCTGAGCGTCTGGTCTCTCCTCCATCTCGTACCGCTGCTTGTCTGAGTAGGACAGCTGGAACTGGATCATGGCATAAAGGCAAATTAATCAGATTCCTCAAATTAATCAGATTTGTCTGAGAACAAAGATCCTCAGAGGCATACAGAGGGATCACTCCTCATCCAGAATCTCATTTAGATGCATTCCAACAGAAATGAGAACTTTACCAACATTTATATGGTAAATTTCCACGGGCAATCTGGTGTCCAGTCTACCTTTTTGCATGGTGTGGCAGGAGAGGTGAATATGGACTTCCAGTACGTCCAGGAGAACATCCCAAAGCAGACATGGAATACCAGAGATAGACCGCTGTACGTGGAAAAACAAACCAAGAAACACAGAAATCAACAAACCTGAAAATCTAAGATATAAAGAATTCAACCTCACAGCCCAGAGCGCTCACCTTTCTCCAGTGTGTTGCTGATTGTAACTGTTAAAACAAGAGAATTGAAGAGATTTAGTGATTCTCTGAAAGTGCCACCATTTGTTCAGAGCACCCGAAAGCTAACACAACTAGCCGGGGAGTAGTTAGCCGAGAGAGACAATAACAGCAGTGAACACCAGCTATCGCTAACCCATCAGAGGAGGCATAACACAAACTAAAACCACCGGCAGGAAACATTAAAAGCCACTTCCGCGTTGCGCCGCCGACCAACAACCTTATTGTCGAAGCGCTCGGCGGCGAGCTGCGCTGTTTGTGGAGGAAAGAGGTCAAGAAGCAGACAAGCAGCCCGTCACACTTACAAAGACACAGCTCGAACACGTAAGCGTAATAAGACAGAGCACGACGGCGGTGATAATGAGGACGGGGATCCAGGAGAAAACCCTCTGACAGCATCTCAACCCCCTGGAGAGAGCCATGTCCACCCGAGCGCCGCTCCGCCTCTGAGCTCCGCTAGCCTCCCTGGCGCTTCATCCATCGACGTCATCTGCGAGCGATTCGCTGGCCTGGACTCATCAGGCCAGAGGAGGAAAGACCTTTTGATCGATTAGGACAATAACGGGTTTCAAGCACAGTTTATAGCATGTGAAAGTAAAAACTCGGTTACGTTTACAGTTAGAAAAGTAAATAAGATTAAAAAATAAATAAATAAAATAAACTCCATTGCTGAAATGTTGACCATGTCCAAGTATTGTATTGTTTATCAGCTGAATGCCTGTTATTGGATCTTTTGCATGAATTACTCCATCGACCTGGTCTGACCTGGACGCGATGAGAAACAGCTCAGTAATTTTTTTTTTTAATGATCCGATGAATAAAAGTGTTTCCTAGTCTGTAACTTCCGATGTTGCTTGGGTCTCCATCTCACCAGACCCTTGACCTTCTCCGCGCTCCTCAGGAGATGGTGAAGTTGTGCCGAAATCTTTGGCTCTCGCAGCTTGAGCAGCTTCCAGATCCTGCAGCTTGATTTCTCCTTTTGTATATTTGAAAAAATAAATAAAATAAAAAAATCTGAATCTGGTGTAATTTGCAGGGCCGTCCAGAGGGTGGCACTGTGAGACCTTATGAAAACGACCAAACTCCGAGCATCTTTCAGCACATCTCTTTCTGCGGCCCCTTAAATCTGTAGCTGCGCGTTCGGCACACCTTGCTTTGCAAGTTTTAGTATCAGCATCAAAGGAGACTGAAGCTGAGTAATGGTGTTTGTGAGGATCAAAGTATCCAGTTATAGACTTGTTTGACAGAGATTAGTGGCGGGGAGTTGAGATTGTGGTAAACAAAAAGGAAGCACTGCAGAAGATATATATGTATATATATATATTCACCTGAGAGGGCGGGGTTTCGAATCCAGTCTGGTCCTTAGGCAAGACCCTTCAAGCTACTATCTACCTCATACCATGAGAAATACTGAGATGCGTAACATGCCGGCTCAGACGTCGCCCGGCCAAACAAGGTCTGCGTCAGGTGCTGGGGAACCAGAGCACCTTTATGACAAATGGGCTACTGGAACAAGACGGAAATGGGCGAGAGATGAAATGTGGATCTGTTGAATGCTACTACTCAAGTAACCCTAGTCAGAGAGGTTACATGCAAGACTGGGGAAGGAATGGTTACTTTGACATCCCCAGTCAACACTAAGTGCTAAACAACTAGTAGCTCAGTGTTCCAACATCCGCAAACGGCAACTGCTATCACACTTGAGATTGATGAGGTACAACACAAATGCTACGGGAAAAAGGAGGAACTGGATTTTAGAACTGTTGGGATTAAACCACAAGTCCCCACCCAGAGAGGGGATATGCGGCCCCGATGAATGAATCAGAGCTGAACGAGACAGCTGCTGACCTGAGAGAGAGAATCATGACCCGAATGACAACCAGACCTCCTCAGCACCAATTACAACGGCTGAGTGAAGTACCATCAGAAGTCTCATTGAAAATAATGCAGCATTGAGAACGATCCATAACAGAGACCAATGAGCTGATCTACAATTCAGAATCAGTGATCTTTGAGATGCTTGGCTATAAGAGCAACCATGAGACCCAATACCCATCATGGAAAAGACGGTAGAGGCTAAAATCAAGGTAACAAGGAGGGAAGTGAGCTAACTATCAGAGCTCCACAAGGGTCCAATGAAAGACCAGTACCCAGAAAGTACAGGCAGATGCCCATACCTGAAGCACTTGAAACTGCCAAACAGAGGCTCCAGCCTTGGCCAGCCGTCTAAAGAAATACACAAGGGAGAATGAAGCCAGAAGATTAACCGGCTCTTCTTCACTCAACCAGCTAAGGTCTACTCTCAATGGCAGGGTAATAACAACAGAGCAGACCCACCAAGGCTGGAGACTGAACAATACTGAAAGGCATATGGGAAAGGAGGCGTCCCACACAGCAATGCACAGTGGCTGATCTCTCTACGAGAGGACCACAGCAACCTCCCTGAGCAAGCCCCGGTAACCATCACTGTGACAGATGTCCAAGAAAGAGTCTCAGGTATGAAAAACTGGACAGCACCAGGGCCTGACATGATCCATGCCTACTGGCTAAAGAAACTCACTGCTCTCCATGAGTGACTGGCAGCCCAAATGAAACAGCTGCTATGAAGTGGGACTCACCCTGAATGGTTAACTGAAAGGCGGACAATCCTAATCCAGAAGGATCCTTCAAAGGGTCCAGTCCCAACCAACTACCGACCAATAATCTGCCTCTCCACAACCTGGAAGCTCATGTCAGCATCATAGCGGCCAAGATAAGCAAACACATGGATAAACACATGAGCACGGCACAGAAGGGTATCGGTGTAAATAGCAGAGGAGCCAAACACCAACTCCTCGTAGACCACACAGTTGCCAGAGACTGTAAAACCCGACACACCAACCTGTGCATTGCTTGGATTGATTACAAGAAAGCCTATGACTCAATGCCGCATACTTGGATCATTGAATGCTTAGAGATGTATAACATCAACAGGACTCTGAGAGCCTTCATTGCAAACTCAATGAGGCTGTGGAAAACCACCCTTGAAGCCAACTGCAAACCACTTGCACAAGTGTCCATCAAATGTGGCATATACCAAAGGAGATGCTCTGTCCCCGCTACTGTTCTGCATAGGCCTGAACCCCCTCTGCCAAATTATCAACAAGACTGGCTACGGATACAGACTCAAAAAGTCACCTTCTCTACCTGGATGACTCAAGCTGTACGCCAAGAGTGAGCGAGACATCGACTCACTGATCCACACCACCAGGATCTACAGCACGGACATTGGGATGTCATTCGGACTAGAGAAGTGTGGTCGGCTGGTCACAAAGAGGGGAAGGTCATCCGCACAGAAGGGGTCTCACTCCCAGAAGGATCCATAGCAGACATAGAGGACAGTTACAAGTACCTAGGTATACCACAAGCAAATGGCAACCTCGATGAGGCCACAAGGAAAGGAACCACAGCTATTTAGCTCCAACGAATAAGGCAAGTCCTGAGAAGCCAGCTCAATGGCAAGAACAAATCCGTGCAATAATCCGTGCCCTGCCAGTAATCAGATACCTGTTGGAATAATTAGCTGGCCAAAGGAGGAGATAAAAGCTACAGATATTATGACTCGAAAACTACTAACCATGCATGAAGGGTTCCACCCAAAATCCAGCACTCTGAGACTGGACACGAGCCGCAAGGAAGGAGGCAGAGGACTAGTAAGTGTGAGAACCACTATCCAGGACGAAACATCTAAGATCCATAGATATATCAGGGACAAAGCCTCAACAGAAAATGTGCTCAGTGAATGTCTCAGACAACAGGGAACGGAGATTGAGGTGCCAGAGATACCATCATGGGAGGACAAGCCTCCCATGATGGTAGGCATGGGATGTACCACCAGCAAATAACTGAAGTGGCTGATATCAGTAAATCCTACCAATGGCTGGAAAAAGCTGGACTCAAGGACAGCACAGAGGCCCTCATCCTGGCCATCCAGGACAGGCCCTGACAGAGCAATAGAGGCCCAGATCTACCACACCAGACAAGACCCAAGGTGTAGGTTGTGCAAGGAGGTCCCTGAGACAGTCCAGCACATAACAGCAGGGTGCAAGATACTGGCAGGGAAAGCGTACATGGAACGACATAACCAAATGGCAGGCATAGTGTACAGAAACATCTGTGCAGAATATGGACTGGAAACCCCGAGATCAAAGTGGGAAACACCCCCAAAGGTGGTGGAGAACGCCAGAGCTAAGATCCTGTGGGACTTCCAGATCCAGACAGACAAAATGGTAATGGCAAACCAACCAGACATTGTCGTAGTGGATAAACAACAGAGGAAAACCGTTGTAGTCGATGTAGCAATACCAAGTGATTGCAACATCAGGAAAAAGGAGCATGAGAAAACTGGAGAAATACCAGGCTTCAGGGAGGAACTGGAGAGGGCCTGGAAGGTGAAGACCACAGTGGTGCCTGTGGTCATCGGGGCCCTCGGGGCAGTAACCCCCAAACTGGATCAATGGCTACAACAGATCCCAGGAACAACATCAGACATCTCAGTCCAGAAATGTGCAGTCCTTGGCACAGCCAAGATACTGCGCAGGACCCTCAAGCTCCCAGGCCTCTGGTAGAGGACCCGAGCTCAGAGGATAAGAACCACCCTCGTGATTGAGAAGGGAATATATATATATATATATATAATATATATATATATATATATATATATATATAGATATATATATATATATATATATACATATATATATATATATATATATATATATATATATATATATATATATATATATATATATATATATATATGAGCAACAAGTGCAACATGAACAACATGAGCAACATAAATGTCTAATGCTATAG